TGCAACCTTGCACGGCAAAGCAGATCCTGGCTAGCGCTGAGGGAGCGATTCATTTCCACCGCAGGCAGCCCTTGTTAGCTTTACCACAGCTTGACTTTAACGGCGTGGTACGTGCAACGTGAAGTTGGTATCATTGTAAAATGTGAAAAATAGAAGACTGAAACAATTTCAAGGTTATAGACTGAAGACAATGTCGAACTAAACGACCTCCTTGGTCTGGGCTAAATATTCCAACAAAGCATTACAAGAAAAGAGGAAATAATCGTTTTGTCTCACAAAAGAAGAAAAAGAACATTTACCAAATAACTAAAATTAAACGCGTAAGTGGCTCCTTCTGAAAGAAAAAAAGAAAGAAAAATACCGTGCCCTATCAACTCGATCGGCAGAATACATTTTCTAATTAAAATTGCAGGTAAGACTCTTTTATTCCACTGTAATACGTTCGGTTTTAGAAATTTACTGCATAAGAAGATTCCTTAGTTTTTAATAAAATCTACCAATTTTCCTTAAAAGATAATTAATTTTAACAACAGTTATTGCACATAGCGCAGATAATTCAAGATTGTCTGGAATTCTGGCGATCGCACCAGATACTAAAGCTTTGAACTTTCTGTGTGTACCATGTGGTGTAATCTGCAGAAACCCTCGCAGGAGCATTATGACTACTACGACAGTATCTACCCATTCAGTAATAACATCGTGCCAGTAATGTACGACGGCATCGTGTCTGTAGCACTAGCCCTAAATGCCTCCATAGCGGACCTACAGCGTCTCGAGCCCCCTCGTAGGCTTGAAGACTTCAGCTATTCCGATATGGACATGGCAAGGGTGATTTTACGCAACGCTGATAATATGGACTTCCATGGATTGACGGTAATCTTGTGCTTTGGTGGGAGGGGAGCGTAATGTGTCGATGGGGTCTCTCTGCGTTGCATGCCGAATTTTGTTTGCCCATAGCGGACTGTAATATGAACAGTCAGGATACTCGTCCTCCAAGGTTGGCGAACAAGAGGGGACACACACGCGCATACACCCCTACATAAGAATACTTGTGGGGTATTTCATTTGTTCTCGTGTACAAAACTCCCACACAACACTGAAAAAAATTTCAAATCACTGCCATTTCAACCAGATTGACGGTAATATTTCTTGTATTGATGGGGGTGTTTTAATAACTTCATGCATTTTTCCCTTCTCCCTCAGCGTTGCATTTCAATTTAGTGGCCATCCTTGGAAATGCTGCACTTAATTTGCGTGTGTCGAAAGTATGATTCAGAGGAGATTTTGGATCGGTTTTCTTCGGTTTAAACCATCCTAAGCACATACACAGAGTTTAAAGCACTCTTTTGTAAAGTTCGTGCATACGAAGTCTTCAAATGAGAAGGTTCAACAGAGGTTGGACAAGTTGATTAGGACTTTTCCGTGTGGTTTACGAAGGTCTGGTCAAGTAACCGCAGCACCTGTTTTTAATCGTTGTTCCCGCACGTCGAATGGCAGTGGAACATGTGTGATTGCCCGTTCAGCGTCACCCAGCGCCCACACAGGGCGCTGGAAAGGCTAATCAGTTTCACAATTGTTTGTGAAGGAAATACGTCACACGGGGTCACAGTTTCAGACGCGCAAAACATTGCATATTGTGAAACGCCCGTACTACAGGCAGATTTTGCGTTGGCAATCCTGTAGCCTATGCCGAGACGAGTTCAACCATTGCCACTCATTAGCGCTTTGAGTTGTTTTTGAGCTGTGGTATCACTCTGAAAGAAATTCCAACAATTAATTCAACCCAATAAATGAGTCATCTACAGGCTCGCTTCAAGTCGGCGCTTACATTAATAACGAATTAAAGAAAAAACTAAACAAAACAAAAAACCCAAAGTTTTACAAACATGGAGTATGATAAATGGCACCACAAAGGAAGTATACGGAAACCCTCTCATTGTGTAAGAACCGGGAATTGTTTAAATATGATTTAAAGGGAATGAGGCCAGAAAACGACAAGACAAAGTGAACAGCAACCATACTTATGCACTGAATGCGTTTCTTGATATTGAGAACTCCATACCCCCCAAAAGTTAATTCTGATTTCCACTAGCTCTCTACTGCACCGTTGAGGGGACCCCATAGTAATTAGGGCCCCCGTCTTTCGTTCCAAAATATCTCATTTTGCCCATAGACCAAAACCTGGATACGGGGTTCTTTCATAACGTGTGGTGCATTAAGAAAAACTTGGTGTGATTTCTTGATCATAGAGTCGAGTTCGAATTGAAAATGGACAACGGAAAGCGGACACAATTTTCATCGATCAGGCTCAAGGTAAAATTATCAGAATTATTGACATTTCAAGTTCGTTTAGAATTTTAACCTGATCAGCAACATTGAAACTGATACTCTATCCATTTGGTACTTAACAGTTATCGGCATAAGGGCTTTAGTAGAATTTTTCTTGCGAAAGAAATAACGACAACCACAGGACCACAGCTAAACACAGAGTCTTTACGTATTATTACAGAAATGACACAAGTCATCAGTGCCGATCAATTATGCATACAATGTCGTCGTCTCCAGCAGAGCATTGTATAAGGCGTCATGATACAGGATCTTTGTGTCTCCCAGTCAATGAACTACACTCAGTTGGTGGAGAAATCCTAGAAAGGGGTGCTTTTGCAAATCCCTTAGAGACTTTTTTGTTCTGTCTTTGTAAAAAATTTTCTATTTACAAAAACAAACATTTTAACATTGTCTTAAACATGCCCAAGGTGTACCTACCATGGCAATCAGTGCTTATGCATGACGATTCTTGCACAATATACAATGTGACAAACTTTTATTTCAACCCTGAAGGCACAAATTTAAATAACGTGATGCAGTACAAGATTGAGAGGAAAATCTTGGTGAATTCGAAAGGTTCCAGTATCAGATGGAAAGGTAAGGTTTAATTTTTGGTAATAAAAGGCCAATGACTAGTTTAGAGGATGCTTGCTCGAATGCAAGTGCTTTATTACAAGTGTGAAATAGATTACCGACAGTTGTAATCACTACATCGAGCTCGAAAATTCGACTAGGAATCCGTGTCCTGTTTGAAGGGTATCAAACTCAAGGCCCTTAACTGCGTGTCTAACGTCGGACTGCATAGACATTGTTACATGTCCTTAGTTTCAATTGTCCACTTTCTCACGTTTCATATATTGCACATTCCTGCCCTGCCTCTGTGTATTCATTTCGTTCTAGTTCATTGAAACAGACAGCAGTCCTTGATTATCTTACAACTACATCAGTAGAGGGACTGTGCTCACCTATACAACATTATGCTCATTTGACTTTGGAATCTCTGATAAACTCTGAGTAATGTACACTGTAAAATGTTCGGAAGCTATGGTTGTTTTGCTTTCTGTTTTTTTTCAGTATTACCCTTTGCAAGCGAACATTACTGCTAGTTATGGTGCATACGCTTTTTAACAGAGAAGAACCCCCCAAAATATCTGGCATGCAGCTCTTTTTTGTGAATCTGTCAGGATATTCGTGAAAAATAGTTTCACCTAGAGTGACTTATTTTTTGAGTGTAATACATTCCTTTTCTTTAACAATGTCTACAACGAAGATGAATGCTATGTGTTTTTTCTTTCCTACTCTCTTTTTCTTTTCCCCTGTACTTGCAGTATAAATGGTTAAGCACTTTTCTGCGCATTGTTCATTTAATAAACGAAAGATGCCGATTTCTCAACTCGTCCAATTCAGCAAGCCAAGATGAAGCATGCAGTTGTGAACAATTAAGTTTCTTCTGTAGATTACACCACCGTTTTGCAATTGCATTATATATTTTACGAAGCCGTTCGTGTTTTTCATCTGCTAGAGACCAAACGGTCCCTCAAGCACAAGACTGCGGTAATCAAAGGTACTCCTAGGGGAATTGTTCAATCAGCATTATTTGTACCTGCTATGCGCAGGATGAGCTGCAACCATACTTGCGGTATTCTCAGCGGGATCTGCACAAAAAGAGAGAAAAAAAGATTGACTTTGTGGGCTGATTACATGGTCTTTGGAATTTCTCTCTATTTATGGGCTTTGTGGTCTAAATCGTGGTTCCTATAGATTGTTCATGCCGCAATTTTTCTCCAGAGGTTGGAGAAGCTATTTTCAGAAATAATTCACTAGCATTTCTTTTGTGGGAAACGCTGCAATATTATCGGACGTTTAGTCCAAAAACAGACAAGTGAGCAAACTTGGTCACTCAGCAATCTTAAACGTTACCAACCTGAAACGCAATTTTTTTCAAAACAAAGTTTTTATGTCACAGATGTGGCTTTTCCACTGAGCTGCTATTTATACAGAAATGGCGCTATTTGGAAAACTTTGTCCAGGAATTTAAGTTATACATTGAGTCACTTTTCTGTTTAGGCGGTCATTTTCCTGTGGATGGTGTAACACAGAGATATGTGATCCTGGAGGTATCGTCTACCGTACGGACGATTCTATTCTCCCTGACGTCGATCGGCGCTGTCTTGGCGTTAGGCGTCTTCTTCATTAATGTCAAATACAAACACAGAAGGTAGCATGAACTTAGGTTCTGACTTTTGCTTTCTTCGGAAGGATTAGGGGTGGGCGTGAGGGTTCTGGGTGGTCTGAGGGTTCGGGGTAGACTAGTGGGTTGGACGTTTGAAACCTAATTCATTATCTTGTTATTTGATAGCTGATGATTGTGAAAAATACTATAATGCAACATAAGTAGTTAAATGTAAAATGTTATTTTGTCGGGTGTGGGGCAATGAGAATCAGTCTTGCTTGAAATAGAACAACCTGCAATTCGACAAGAAAAACGATTGGCAAAAACAGGGATCGGCTCGGAGCAGAGTCTTGAACCTACGCCCGATGACTAAGAATATTACTTTATCACATCAGCCCGTTTCTTTACTTTCTAACAATTATCCAACATGTGCCAATTTCATTACACGGAAAATCCAATCGAGGACTCCTGTATTTTTTTAAATCCCAGGGCTATCAAGATGTCGAGTCCTTCCCTGGGTAACCTGACTGTGGTTGGTTGTTTGCTTCTTTACGCCTCTGTCTTCGTCACAGGCTGGGACAAAACGAAGCTATCAGATACGGCTATCGTCGTCAAGTGTCATGTAAGGCAATGGTCATACCAGAAAAATCACCGAATCTCTTTGAAATTCACTGAATCATCATCTGACCCTGCAGCCCCTTATTTCCAAAGATTGAAACTAAGGACCGTGAGACGATTGAGTGTGAAAACCATACTGAATTTAAGGTGAAATAATTATAGTTCGAGAAAGCACCACTTCCAGAGGGAGCTCGAGTGAAATCTCGATCTGTTGAGCGAGAAAACTTCACTCGAATTCGTCTGGTCCTTTCAGTGGAAGGGAGTGAATTTTCACTCTTTGGAATTTAGTGTAATGTGATTTGAGATTGACCCTTACCTTGATCTCAAGTTGACGCTTTGACAAATGTTTTAATAAAGAAGTTATACATGCTACGAGCTATATACAAGATTCCATAACTAGTGATAGATTATGGAACTTTTAATTTTAATATTGTTATTCAGATGATGGTTAATTTATTCAGAATCCACTAAAAAAAAAGCCAATCAGAATACCTTCTGGATTAATAATTGCTTTTATTTTTCAGCTGGAGAGGATACTGAATTCCCTAGGGCTGTCATTTACATTCGGTTCCATCTTCATGAAGACGTACCGCATACACGCCATATTCAGTCGTGCAGTGAAGAAGTTTAAACGAATTGTGAGTAATGTTTAGAAAAAGGCGACTTTGATCGATCAGATCGTCATGATCAGAAATCTGTCTCAAATATCTATCACAACTTTAATCTTGAAAAGTTATGCATATTCAGTATGAATATTTTTCCAGTCATTTTCTAAATTCACGTCCCATCTGACACTTAATCCTCCGTGGTTGTGCATGCACTTGGACCAAAGAGGCTCTGACGAGAGCATTTAGTGTCTAGTCCACTTCAAGCATGGTTTCTTGGCAAAGGCATGTTGGCAAATCAAAAGCCACTGCTACAGTGCATGGCTCAACGCTGGTGGAAGTTCCTCTTCAACCAACAGGATGTTGTGACTTGCCAAATGCACAGTGCCTGGAGTTTAAGATCGCGTGCACGGATGTAGTCCCACTGCGGCAATGCTATCTCCTCGGTTTAGCCTGTGATGGAGGGAAGGCGTGGACTCCCTAATCAACTTTTTAAGCTTCAGCGTTCAATATGACTTGGGCCCATGATCTCGGAAAAATCAGTGGTCTGCTCTAAAATTTGAGGCCGTAGTTTTGATTATTTTCATTTCCAGAAGCAGGTAACAAGCTGTCCATTACTCACTTTTGTCCTGTCGCATTTACCCACAGCATTTACCGGACTGGAAGCTCATTTGCGGAGTTTTGACGGTTGTGCTTGTGGATTGCATCATATTTGCCGTGTGGATTGTCATGGATACGACTACTGTTAACAGTCGATTTCTTGAGCCCCGGGTAGGTGCACAATAGATATCTTCGGATATCGTAGCCTTTTCTGGGTGTCTCTTTAATGATGTAGTATGCAAAAGAGTGCCAATTATCATCCTTGGCTTAGGAGCACATTCGCTCAAGCCCACTTCCCAATACAGTGCGCTTGGAACGGTTAATATTATCAGACTGCATAAATCCTATCCTCAATGCATTTCCATCGATGAGTAACAACACTTGTGCAAAGATAGCAAGTCATCAACAGTGCCGTTCATCAACAGTACTTCCAAGACAAAATTTTGTAAGTGAGATTAGTCATACTCCATGTGTAACTCTGAAAGAGGTTTACTTCCTCAAGCAGAAGTGCCCTCTCATCCCTTGAAAAGAGCCATGTTGGTCGGGAGTGCTTATTTTGTTGGTAGCAACTGTATACGCGTGCATTTCACAGTCCTGTGTGAACCAGCGAAGTGCACTTCCTACCAAAGCAGCTTGCGTTGCTAGGAAACTTGTGCCCTCTCTCGGTCTGGCTTGTGGGTCATGGCCTATAAAGCCACGATTTTCAATGACCATTTAGTTTTTATGTTTTCCTTGCCTTATATAGCTTGACACAACCGAGCCCGAGAAGGAGATTTTCGACGTTCCTGTGATAAGGTATTGCAGCAGTGAGAATGCTCAGTACTTTACTATCGCCCTCTACGGCGTGAAGGGAGTCCTGTTGACCTTCGGTATTTTCTTGGCCTGGGAGACAAGAAACATTGCCGTGTCTCAGCTCAATGACAGTAAGAACGCAGAATTGAGTACACCTCTGTTCAGTCCTGCGTATTTTCTATTTAGGTCAATACTTATTGGACTCCCAAATTAATGAGATTATGCACAACATTTTCAAATGCTTTATACTAATCAATAACTTCATGTTCCTGTTTTGATGGTAGGTAAATACATCGCCGCTTCAGTGTATGTCGTTGCTTTGACTTTAACCCTGACTGTCCCTGTAACGACTATACTTGGGGATGACGTCAATATGGCGTATCTTGTTCCCGGACTCGCAATTGCCATAGTCAATACAACAGTGCTGGGCCTGAATTTTATTCCAAAGGTAAAGATTTTCACCAATTCTATAGTCAATCGAACGGTTAATCAATCGATACCTTTCAAACAATTTTGTTGCATGTGGACATGGCCGGATGTACCCAAACATCAACGAAGCTGTCCAAATGTGGACAGGAGGAGTTCGGAATAGTTCGGCTATTTTCGGAAACCGGTGCAATTCCTCCGGTTTCGTTCACGTGGACATTATGGGTGATACAGGACCCTTAATTCGAGGAGAATAGTCGGATTTATCGGGTCTGTTTAACACCCCAACTAATTTCATGGTGATTCCCGCAGAGGATGTGTTAATTTAACAACGATCAAAACTGGTCCGACCTTCAGTACATTCGAGGAACAACTTATCGTCAACGTCGAGAAATTATCACTCTGACGTTAAATATCTTATTCGCTATATAGGTTTATCTCTTTGTAACGGCTGACGAGGAGACTATCAGTTTAAGCATGATGCAGCCCATGAGGTATAATGGGTCCTTGGCTGCACACACTTGCCCGTCATCTCTGGACAAGAAAAAGGTCACCGAGGAACTACGAGACATACTGAAACAGGTACGATATTAAATATCAGTGACACTTGTTTGTCTCGGATTTAACATCAGAACTTTAACAGTTTAAATTTTGAAATCTCTCAACATAACACAAATACCGAACGTGTTCTCTCCAGCTACTGCAAACTGTACCTTAAATTAGTCTATATAGCTGGAAACCATGACAAGGGTGCAAACTCGAGATTCGATCTTCTGACAAGCATCATAAACATGTAACTAATTTTGAGGGCATTCTTAATTTGTAGCATTTCGCAGGACTGAGTTTTGCGCTGACGAACCAACAAGGCTTGTTATGACACAGTGCGAGTCTAATTTACCCAGCCGGAACAGATGATATTTCGAACCATTCAAGGGGATTGTAAAGAAGCGGTGTTTGTCTTTTGAAATTTTTCAAATACAGAGGAGAGAGAAGCTGCTGCTGTTGGCCGAAGATGCTCCAACTGTAGACTTTGCAGATAACATTTAAATGCAGTTCAGGAGATCAAACTTTAATTGGTCTGCGTGTGCACTTTCTCGGAATATCAAGCTCTTTCTCGATAAATTTCGTGTTGTGGTAACAGGTATTTTCCAATATTAAATCAAGTTAATGTAGTAATCGTTGTAATATCTGCACTAACTGCAAGTTGTGCATTATTATGTGCATTTGTCGGTAAACAGAGCCACCAGCACTTGGTAGTTGTCACTAGAATAGAAACAGGTACCACAGCAAAGCTCAACCATAAGCCGGCAGTAATCCTGTTGACGGGGGTCAATAGGATCGGCACGCTATGGCTAGGGAAAGATGGAGCATGTTGTCGCGTAGCCTCTCGGGGATGGGGCTGCGGTTGTAAAAGGTACTCCCCATTACTTTGTAAAAGTACCCTTAAGTTCATTCAAAGAACATATAAAATCAAATTATTCACAATGCTGTATCTAAGTGCACAGGTTGAGTTTTCATTTTCTTCTTTGTCAGATGGTGCAACTCTCGCGAAACACAGAAAAGGGCTGACTAAAGTACCAGTCAAGGTTTAGTTTCTGTCCGGGTTTTCTTGGACACAGTCTGTTTAGAGGCAGACCTGCAGATGTACTTGACTGGTTTCATTCACGTATTTGTTTTCTCGCGTATGTTGAATGTTTTCTGTACATTTGTACGTAGGCCGCACCATCAAGCAGAGTACCAAGAGTCCCAGACTTTCGACCAGTGCAGTCTCTTTTGCAAACCGGGGCATGTATAGTACCAATAAGTGCATTTTGAAAACATATTTTTTCTCAACCATCATGTAGCAGTCCAGGTGTACATAATGTACGGTGTTAGGGAATACTGTATTTGGAAGACCCTTCTTTTGGTAAAGGTTTGTGAAGCCACGAGTTAAATTTGAATAAAATCTGGTACAATGTGTTATCTGATTGCACAGAATTTGAACTCCCCAGACTATACACTGGTTTTAGAATGGAGAATTCAAGTTGTTATGTTCACGTGATATTAAAGAACTCAGTGTACCAGATTTTATTCAAATTTAACTTGCAAATGGCTCATTGATGATGAGGTGATTTGACAGAGAAGTCGTTTTGTGAGGAAGCGCAAGTCAGTAATTCACACCAAAAGTTTGGCCAAAAGGCTTTCTGGAGAAAATGTGTTGTTTGTAGCTTGAACTTCAATAAAGTTTACATGACTTGTAGCCTAACAAGCTCATTTTGTAGATGGTGTTGAGTATTGTCTTGTTGTGGTAACGTTTGATAGGAGAACGTAGAGGGTTCATAAGATACTTTTCACATTTGTCATTATGTTGATGTTTCGCAAAACGGGAGGAAAACAGCTATAATTTCCCTGAATTTAAACACGGCACATTCAGCTTGGTAATACTTTCTCTTTCATCTTATTTGTTTTAGGCGTTCAATTTACTATAGTGTACAGTTTGTTTAACAGTCTCTGACCTCATGTTACAAATGCATTGCGAAAACAAACACAGAAAAATTCATCTGTGCATATCAACATCTGTGGCCGATTCTTTTACATAAACTATCCTAAGTAAGCTTAGCTTACCACTTTCATCATGAACTACGTCTTAATGTGATCATCCTTGAATGGAAGATAGCACCTGTGATTTTACATGATACAGAACGTTTTAGTGTAATCGAATTAATCCGTACAGCATACATCTCAGAAAAATAACGTGAGGGCGTCACATGAGGGCGGTGCATGATTTATGGCAGGTGGTACCTGCAAACATAAATAGATTACAAACATTTTAGTACAGGGAATGGCTAATTAGAACACAGACCAATTAAAAGAGAGTTGTTTTTCACGTAGAGCTATGGCATATACTTTAACCCACAATAACACTCGTCTTCTGAAGGCCCATGCCTCTCAATAGAAGATTTATACTTGACGGTTGTATTTAAACAGAACCACTGAAGATAACCAGTTCCAAAACCCAGTTCAAACGGAACCACAGCCTTTAATTCCATCTCATGCAACCTGGGATCCCTGCCAATTTTCTAACGTGAATTTATGGGTCGATGCTACGTATGCAAACTACATCATGTGGTTCAAATTGAGCTCAAACACGCCTTAATTTTTCTCGACCTTATTTTACATAATCATCCTTTTAAAAAATTTTGTCCTCATATCTTTTGCCTAAAAACACTCTCAAAAGGTTTTGAAACTGTAATTACTTAAGAATCGATTTTTCTGTATATAAAATTGTAGTCACCTTGGGTACGAACTTACACTTGTTTGACAAGAAACGCAAGAAACTCTGACAACTTGGCGGACAATGAAAAGTCTACATAATCACAGGTTGAAGACAACAAAATGCATTCTTTAATGACAAAACCTACAGCTGATCGAGGGCGCATCAATGAAACACCGTGTCCGGAAGGCAATATTTTTATGGCACAATAGTATGGGAATACACCATGTACTTTTGGGTTGGAAAGTGGTCTCATTGCAGAGCTTGAGAGGAGACTAGTCTTCACGCCTTTAGAAAGCTTCCAAAAATGAAATGTCGGATTTCCCTACAGGAAAAAAATCTCCAGAGGTGCGATTAAAGCCTTTATTAAAGTCTGGTTACCCCAAAAACTTATTGCGTAAAAAAAATCCCACAGGAAGCAGAAATGAAGTCGAAAAGAATTAAAGTTTTTAACAGAACTTAAATGCTTATGTAAATCATTTTAAAACACTTGTAAACAGGAAACCTGGTCACCGTAACTTTTGAATTCTCTGCTTAAGCAGATTCAGGTAGACTAGTTTGCCCCACGCACCCAATGCAAACGCAGTCAGCGATTACTTTTTTCATTATCACTATTTTTTGAGGGGAAGTTCTAGTCCAGCTCTTTGAGTTAAATACCTGCCGCAGCACTAAGACTACTCTACACTTTGGTTCCTACTTCTAAGAATCATGATCTTGACACAAGTTGCCCTTAAATGCAATTAGCGTTTATACATTTGCAACGAGGAAGAAGGCGACGCCAAAAGAAATTGTCTATTCTGACTGACGCGAATGGTTCAAAATAATACTAAAATAATTGTACACAGCCATTACCTTAAATGTCTGTATCTAATGTTGAACACTGGGAAAGGCATGGAAAATGGTTCGCCCAATTATAATGATTCAACATTTTTCTGTAGCAACACAAAGGAAATCTTTCCTATCGATTGAGATTGGTTTTGAATTTGAGGCGTGAACGGAATAATGAAGTGCACGTCTCGCTCTGCTTTGAACGGCGTCATCGGTAGGTCAACTTCATTACGAATTACATGTAGTTTCTCCTTTCCCTGGTATTCACTTTGTTGTTTAGCATCCGTTTGGCAACACCCCAAAACTGATTTGTGAACGGAAAACTTTTGCTCGTGCTGTGCAGGCTTTTGTTTGCAATTTAATAATAATTAAATTAATGTAATAATAAAAAAGGTGTGCGGATGACCTTGAGGCTGGACAGCGAGCCAGGCGAGTTAAGGAAAGAAAAAAATCCAAATTTGAAAGAACTGTAGGGTCAACAAACAAATCAATTCAAAGGAGCAATAATGAAACCATTGTTTTGGAGATAATGAAAATCACATGGATAGGCTGGTCAGTAGTGCAGTGTACGCGCATATAGAAACTGCCTCTCTTCCCAAGAACCACGGATCTTCTCTCGATCAGTGGTGCCACCACTGGTTCGCACCATCCATTACGCGGGATCTGGTTTTAATGGAACCAACTTCAGATCCACGCGAAACAGACAGGCCCTTAGTTTACATGCGCCTGTGGACCACGTTTACTGTGACGTCATGCTTACTCGGTTGCTGACATAGCGCAGATGATGAAGTAATTGCTCATTTTATCACTAAAACCAAAAACCTCTGACAGAATAAAAATAAGGATAACTTGTGAAACCTTCCTTGTTCACGCTTCGTCACCTGCCATTTTCAACGATGTTTGCTGTCCAGCAGAGACCTGTCACCAAGGCACTCGGCCTGTTTTTGGCTGTGTTCCCGGTGCTTGGATCTGCAGGAAGCAACAACACGTGCAATGCCACTGCTTTTGGCGCAAAATGCGTGATTCACATAGGCGGTATGTTCGCTTTCCCCAACAGTCCTTTGATAGGTACGCAACAAGAGGTAGCGCAGACGGCACTTGACCACATCAACAGCTTGGACGGGATCCTAGACGGTTACCACCTGATCATGAGATGGAACTGGACTGGGGTAGGTGGTTTTTGACAGACTTTCAACGAACATGTTGACACTGAGTTCTATGATTCTACGTTTGATGTCACTGTCCAATCTGGTTAGGGAAAACGAGATTATGGAATAAGTTCAAAATCGAGTAGTGAAAAATATAACGCCAAAGACTCTGTGGAAATGGCATTCGGCTTTGTCTATCACGACGAAAATTGGGCGTTGTATAATGCAGCACTTTGTTTTCAAAATGAATCTGGAGGAAATCAAACAAAACAGGATACAACAAACGTCAAAGAATCTCGCCATTCAAAGATTAAGGATTCCTATTTTATCTTTTTAAAAAATTAGTAAAGGGCATTTTGTTTTGAGTATGCACGCTTCTTGGGGTCGGTTAAAAAAGGTTTTGCTCTTCATTGAGTCAACATCCGTTGAAAAACCCCTGTGTATTTCTTTTGTTGCTCAAATAATTTGCAGAGAGCTGATCCGGGGGAAGGTTTACAAATACTGTACAACTTGGTCTACAGCGGACCTCCTGTGTCTGTTTTATGGGGCCCTCTTTTAATACAGGAAGCGTTCGTTGTCAACAGAGTGGCGGCCAGATACAACATAGTTCAGGCGAGTTGCAACGTGCTCTAGCTGGTTTGACCGTTCTGCTTAAAACACTGCATTACTTTGCTTGACTCATCTCAGAATCAGATGTACATTACGAAATGCTAAAGTGAACGTAAGTAACCAAGACAAGAAAATTTCTTGCAGCTATATTTCTCATCCTTTTCAATTTTAATTTCAAGGTTTTCATTTCCATTGAATTTTACTGCCTTTTCATCGTCATATCAACTTATATTTTCACAAATACTTTTTTCTCTATCCAAACATCTTGAAATTATAAATGTCCATATAGTTTACTAACGTTTTGTAGTGTTCTCCAACAATGGTGTAACGGGTGAGCTCAAATTTTAACACCAAATATAATAACCGTAGTGTCAAATGTTTAAATTTGATTGCCATATTTTCCTGACCTTCTGCTTGAAAAATAAGAATTTGACAATGGTTGTCACGCTTTCGATTCCATGTTAAAATGAATGATTTTAAAACGAACTTAGGCAAAATTAAGTTTGAACAGAAAAGGAAACCATATATTTCCAGCAAGGACTGTGAAGCAACATAAATGGAAGTGTATCTGTCTGTCTTTCTGTCTGTCTGAAACTCAGTCGCCTCTCTATTATAAACCGAAACGCTTTGATTGTTTAACGGACAGATTGGTATACCATCAAATCCAGCGTTAGGAGACCGGTCCGTGTATCCGTACACAGTCAGAGCCTACCCTAGTGATAGAGACCATTTCTTGGGCGTGGTTGCATTCATCAAAGAAATGGGATGGAAGCGGATTGCATGCATCTTTGAGGACAACTCCTTTTATCAGGCTGTAAGATAGTATTGCATTTTTTTGCACGAAACGAAAACTCAAAGGTATTTCTACACTTCCATCCACTTATGTAATTGGTCAATGCCAATTAAACATGTGGTAGGATAAGATGGATGATTTAAGCATAATTTGAACGGGTGCGTATAGGGATGGATGTCCAGTGTTTACCAACTTGACTTTTTGAGGCTTACATATTTAAGAAAAAACAGCTGTAGCGTCACACTGCTTGAGAGCATCCGTACCCTCGGTTTTCCGAATGTTCTGCGGCCGCATGAGTTCAACATCATCTCTTAACCTCTAGAAAAAGCTATACGCATTTGAATTTGACGGGCCGTCGACATTCTTGGAACATGTTTGTATTCGTACTGTTGAAAGTTTTAAAAGAATGAACTCGAAAAAGTGGCGTTTGAAACCAAGCGTAAGATAAATCACCTACTCCTGTAACTATTAATTCTGTTACAAGCTGGCCCTGATCTAGGTGCGGAAGCAGGCAGTCCCATAATCCTTTCGTCACATTTAATTTTGAAGCATATGAAGAACTTGCGAGAAATGTTGGAAACTAATGACATCAAGATCGTGGCATCGGAAGGAATTAAGAATATCAACATGGTAGACATCCATCTTCAAAATTTAAAGGTATGCTGCACTCAGACAAGTTCTTGAATAAATGTCGATTGGAGGTTTTTCAATTTAACGATAAAAACAACAAAACCAGAAGCAGAGCAATAACAAAAGTAACACCACTGCATAAATTAGAGCCGAGTTCAAACAAAACAGGCCCATCAAAGAAGTCACAAGATGGTGTCACTTTCACGTTAAGGTTTTTAATGTATAGCTTTTTGCAAATGTTTTTCTAGCGGCAGGATGTCAGAATTATTTACACTGGATTCCCCAACATAGCGGCAACACTGAAACTCTTCTGTCAGGTGAGCCCATATGAAACTTGCATTGGATAGGCGTTCCTTCAGACGTGTGTGATATTGACTTACGTTGCAAAGTTATGTCACCGGCGCAACTGATGGCTTGAAATTCTATGAGGTACTTTAAGGTGAGCACATTTTTGAAGGGGCACTGAAAGAATACCCCTGTGCCCCCGTGAGCCCTTGTAATTACGTGACATGCATTGGCAATAGTGGTGTTGTTGCTTTATATTCAGTTTACGTGATCCAAATGACATCGATGTTTGATTAAAGAGAGGATCCGTTGATTAAAAAAAGACATGGTACGCGTGATCGTGATGAAATTTCTTTTACACCAACTTGTAAATGATAAACCAGGCCTACATCGCTGGTTTGACGGGTGCAAAGTACGTGTGGATACCGCCTCTCCTTGCCAACTTTGTGTGGTGGCTCAACAACTCGGAGTCAGACATCCAACCTTGCACGGCAAAGCAAATCCTCGCTGCCGCTGATTCAGCGATCCACTTCGACCGCGGGCAGCGCTTTGTAGGTTTGCCGGGGCTTGACTTTAACGGCGTGGTACGTACAACCTGAAGTAGTAAAATGGGAAAATTAACAGACTGAAACAATAACAAGGTTATAGACAGAAGAAAGTGTCGAACTAAACTAGTAGGCCTAACCGTCCTTCAGGGCTTGGGCCGAATATTGCAACAAGGTATTACAGGAAAAGAGGAAAACTTGCTCCGTCAATCTTTCCAATGTTACAATGATCACGACAGATGGAAAGAGAAAATAGAGAAATGACTAAATTTAAACTTGTACATTGCTCCCTGTGAAAGAAAACTGCTACCATGCCCTAATTTAATTAATCGGCAGAACGCTTCTTCTTTTAAGGTTGGTTTAATACTCCACTGCTGTTTAGAAGTTTACTGCATGCAAGATTCCTTTGTTTTGAATAAAATCTAGTAATGTCCGGAAGTTTGTTATAAAAATAATTCATTTTAACAAATACTGATAATCCCAAAGAGCAATGAATTTCAGGCTTGCATGGATTATTTTTAACCGTACTGGCTGCTATATGTTTGAACTTTCTCTGTTATCATGTGGTGTGATTTGTGCACAGAAACCCTCGCAGGAGCATTACGACTACTACAACAATATCTACCCATTCAGTAGCAACGTCATACCGTTAACGTACGACGGCATCGTATCTGTAGCACTGGCCCTGAATGCCTCCATAGCGGACCTACAGCGTCTTCAGCCCCCTCGTAGGCTTGAAGACTTCAGCTTTTCAGATGTGGACATGGCAAGGGTGATTTTACGCAACGCTGATAATATGGACTTCCATGGATTGACGGTAATCTTGTGCTTTGGTGGGAGGGGAGTTGAGGGGGGCGTAATGTGTCGATGGGGTCTCTCTGCGTTGCATGCCGAATTTTGTTTGCCCATAGCGGACTGTAATATGAACAGTCAGGATTCTCGTCCTCCAAGGTTGGCGAACAAGAGGGGACACACACGCGCATACACCCCTACATAAGAATACTTGTGGGGTATTTCATTTGTTCTCGTGTACAAAACTCCCACACAACACAGAAAAAAATTTCAAATCACTGCCATTTCAACCAAATTCAGTTTCCTTTCGACCGTATGGCCCTTATACAAAATACATTTTATACATCTAAACTTCTAAACTCCTTACGTGAGCAACCACTTCGTGGCTATGGCGTACCGAAGTGACTACGTCATTGTGTAACTATGTAAAAAGGCCTTAGTGCAGAACCAACGCGTGAACCAACACGCGTGCGAGCTCTATTCGCTTTTACAGCACTTCCTGGTTCCAATTGACATCACATTCGTTACTCTTTTTTGTTGCATTCACGGTGTATAAGTTTCTACTATTCACTGGTTTTTGTTCTTCCCAAGCACAAACCCAGAGTTTGATTTCTTTTATAATAGTTCTTACAAGTGAGAAAATGGATGGTGATTTAAAAAAATGTTGGTATGATTTCGTGGTAGGGTCGAGTTCGCATTGAGGACGGACTACGGAAAGTGGACACAGTATACGTCGATCAGGCTCAAGGTGAAATTATCACAGTATTCACATTTCTTTTAATTTTTGAAAAAGAAGTTTAGCCTGATCAGCAACAATGAAATCCATACGCATTTTGCACCAAATAGCTATCGGCATAAGGGCTTTAGTTCCTTTTTTAGGAATTTTTTAAGGTTTTTTTTTTTTAAGAGAAAGCAACAAGCATAGGACCATAGCTGAACACTGAGGGTCTTTATTTCTTATTAAAGAAATTACACAAGTCATCAGTGCCGCTCAAGCATCAATACCTGTGGTTGTCTCCAACAGGGCATTGTAAAAGGCGTCATTTAGGGTCTTCCATGTCTCCCAGTCAATGAACCATACTAAATGGTCAAAAATACTCAAAGGGTGTGCTTTTTCAAATCCAATGAGACATTTTTCTGTTCTGTGTCTTTTTTACACAAAAAGAAACATTTCACACCTCTAAAACATTCCCATGGTTTATCATTATGCTTATGCATGTAGCTTCTTGAACATCATACAAAGTGACAGATATTTATTTAAACCCTGACAGGTACAAGTTTGAATAACGTGATGCAGTACAACATAGAGAAGAAAATGTTGGTGAATTCAGGGATTTCGAGTATCAGATGGAAAGGTAAGGCTGAAATTTTGGTAAAGGCTTAGTTAATACTGAATGTGCACTCGAATGCAAGTTCTTATTATCATCTGAGGTATGAAATAGGTTACCGGCATATAGTAACAATCGCTTTCACATAGAGAGCTCTAAAATTTGACAAGAAATCCTTGTTCTTTTGAAGAGTATCAACTCAAGGCCCCTAAAGGCGGGTCTAATATACACCAGCATCAGGCATAGTTACGTCCCCTTTAGTTTCAGTTTTCAGTTTCTCATGTTAATATATTGCGCGTTCCTGTGCCGCTTCTGTGTTTCATTTTGTAACAGTTCATCAAAACAAAAGGCAGTCCTTTGTTGTCACAAAACGTCTTCAGTATAAAAGAGACCATGTGCAACGTATTATTATCATTTCACATTGGAGTCTCTATAATTCGGAATAATACACCCTGTAAAACTGTTTTCATGCTGTGGTAGTTTTGGTTTCTATGTTTGTATTGCTTTGTGCTCGGCCATTGATACAGAAATTGTGCTACAGGGAAAATTATGTCATGAAGTGTAAGGGTTACATCGAGAAATTTTCCTATGACTTGTAATCTCCGTTCAGGCGGCCATGTTCCTGTGGATGGTATAACACAGAGATCTAAGATCCTTGAAGTATCGTCTACCGTACGGGCGATTCTATTCTCCCTGACGTCGATCGGCGCTGTCTTGGCGTTAGGCTTCCTCTTCATTAATGTCAAATACAAATACAGAAGGTAATACGAACCGAGGTTCTGACTTTATTATGCCTTAAGGGGTTTGGGGTTGGCTAAGGAGTTTGAACGTGTTTTAACTAATTCAAGATTGTTGCCATTTGAGAGGTGGTGACTTTCGCAAATGCAACATCAAAAGCAAAGAAAAATAGTTAGATGGATGTATAGAACCAGTCTTGCTTGAAACAGGCCTATGTACGACAATCTGTACAGGGATAGACCAAAACGTGGAGTCTTAAGCTAATGCCCAATGGCATATGATCACTGTGGCCCGATTTGTTTTAAGGTTCTAAACATACGGATGCCAATTTAATTACAAAGAAAATCCCATGATGATAGGCTCAAATTTTGTTACAGTGCCCTCCGCTGCGAGTAAGGTGCGTCTCTGCGTCTTCAAGTAATAGAACTGTTTTCCAGTTTAAACTCCTGATATTTCTCTTGTTTTTAAATTCCAGGGCCATCAAGATGTCGAGTCCTTCGCTTGGTAATCTGACTGTGGTTGGTTGTTTACTTCTTTACGCCTCTGTCTTTGCCACAGGCTGGGACAAGACGAATTTGTCTGATACGGCTATCGTCGTCAAGTGTCATGTGAGTAATAAAGTAAAGAGGGATGTAGTCACACCAGAAAAATTACCGAATCTCGTTGAAATTCACTGAATCATCAGCCAATCCTGACCTGTTTTAAACCTCTGATTTCCAAATATTTCAAGACGATTTAAAATGAAAACCATGCCGAAGTTAGAGTGGAACCAGTACGAAAAATAACCATCTCCAGTGGGAATTCGAGTGAAATTTCAATCTGTTGGAGTGAGAAAATTTGTTTCAAGTTCGTCTGGTCCGTATTTTCCGTCAGAGGGAGAGAATTGTCACTCCTTCGAATTGCGAATAATGTCATATGGAATTGCCCCCGACCTCGATCTCACGTTCACGTTCTGACATATTTTTAATGGACATATGACATATTTTTAATGGAAAACTTGCACATGCTACAAGTTATATATGTGTAGATTCCATAGAACTTTGTAATTTAGATGATGTCGTCTTATTCATTCACAATCCCCCCGTCAGTCCGAATGAGACTGGAAACCTTCTTTGGATCTACAACAATTGTTTTTATTTTTCAGCTGGAGAGGATTCTGATTTCCCTAGGGCTGTCATTTGCATTCGGTTCCATCTTCATGAAGACGTACCGCATACACGCCATATTCAGTCGTGCAGTGAAGAAGTTCAAACAAATTGTGAGTAATGTTTGGGAAAAAGCGATTTTGATCTAATAGGCATACAAATTTGTCTCCAAACACAATTATAATCTTTCTCAGTAAGATATTCGGCTTAGCCTATGATGAAGGGAAGGGCACGGTCTCCCTCATCATCGACTTTTCTGGCCTTATTTTGGCCCATCTCAGAACCTGGGTTGGCGGGAAAATTCTACATTTTTGGCTGACCCATCTGGGAAAAATGCGTGCTCTGCAAGAACAATATGTTTGAGTTTCACAAAATTGGTGTCAAAATGACTTCAAAAATGTTACTGAAGAAAATTCTAAAGGCTCAACTCCTGAATAAATACACTGCGGCGATATCAAGACAAATGTTGAAGGGACAGATCCGTCCCCCCCCCGCCTCTTTTGGGGTTAAAGCTTCAGCTTTCAAAAGAAATGTATGATGACAGTGCATGGTTTTGAAAATCAGCAAATGCGAGGCCATTGTTTTGATTATTTTCAATTTAGGTAACAAAATGTCGTTTGTTTACTTTTTCTACCTGTCGCATTTACCCGCAGGATTTACCGGACTGGAAGCTCATTTGTGGTGTTTTCATAGTTGTGCTTGTGGATTGCATCATCTTTGCCGTGTGGATTGTCGTGGATACGACTACAGTTACCAGTCGATACCTTGAGCCCCAGGTAGGTGTACATGGGACATCCCTGGATATCATAGCCACTTTTTGGCTGCCAATTGTCATCCTTGACGGAGGAGTTAATTCGCCGAAGTCCACATCCCAATAAATGTTCTACCAACAAAATGAGCGCCCCCATAAAACATGGCTCTTTTTGACCGACGAGGGGGGTGCTGCTGCTCAGAACAGACAGCCTTCTAAAGCCCCAATGTTATTATTTACTTTGCTTTGTCCATGCAATCCTCGCCTTACAGCTTGATGCAACCGAGCCCGAGAAGGAGATTTTCGACGTTCCTGTGATAAGGTTTGCAGCAGTGAGAATGCTCAGTACTTTACTATCGCCCTCTACGGCGTGAAAGGAGTGCTGTTGACCTTCGGTATTTTCTTGGCCTGGGAGACAAGAAACATTGCCGTGTCTCAGCTCAATGACAGTAAGAACGCAGAATTGAGAACACTTCTGGTCAGTCCTGCGTATTTTCTATTTAGGTCAATAGTTATTGGACCCTCAAATTGCAAAGCAATGGATTAATGCACAATATATGCGTATCATTTACACAGACGTTTTGGTTTTACTCATTGATCACTAAAGACACCACGTTCCTGTTTTGATGGTAGGTAAATACATCGCTGCGTCAGTGTATGTCGTTGCTGTGACCTTAACGCTGACAGTCCCAGCAACGACCGTACTTCAGGATGACGTCAATATAGCGTATCTTGTTCCCGGACTCGCAACTGCCATAGTCAATACAACAGTGCTGGGCCTGAATTTCATTCCAAAGGTAAAGAGTGTTGCCAATTCCATACCCAATCAAACACGATAACATGTAACCAATGAATACTGTTTCAACACCTTTTTAAAACTACAGTCTGATTCCTTGACTTTGCAAGGATTGATAGAAGCTGGAGTTGATTCTATAGACTAAGGAGAGGTCATTTTGCGATAATTTCACACTTACGAGCCTATCACATCACGCGCTCTTAAATTATTAAAAGGCCAGAAGAATTAAGGTGTATGAAAAAACCTATGACCCCGAGTGCAACCGATAGAGGGTGCAATTTTCTTAGCAACGAACGCTCCTCAGGTAGGAAAAGCACTTCGCTGGTTCACAAACGACTATGAAATGCAGGTGTGGCGGTTGCGTATAGAAACCAACAAAAATGAATACTCCCAACCAACAGGGCTCTTTTTCAATCGATAAAGGGATGCTTTTGCTCAAGGCAGATTGATCGCAGAAGGATTTCACAGTATCGTATGCGAAAAAGCATGGTGCAATGTAACAACGCAATAAATGGCTTCTTATTCTGAGCCACACAAGCTGATTAGAATTTCCTCAACTACTTCAGAAGTTATCATTTTGATGTTAAAGTGTTGTATTTCATTACCCTCTTTAGGTTTACCTCCTTGTAACGGCTGACGAGAAGACTATCAGTTTAAGTATGATGCAATCCACGGCTGCACACACTCGTCATTCTCTGGACAAGAAAAAGGTCAATAAGGACTTGCGAGACATTCTGAAACAGGTATGATATTAAACATCATTTTAAGTTCGTCTCAGATTTTTAACCAACTTCAGCATTTTTTTTATTATGAAATCTCTCAAGAAACACAAACACCAAACTCTGCAGCCACAGTGAACTATCGGTATTCGATCTTCTGAAATGCATTATTATGAACACTTCGCTGGACTGAATTTTTTCTTCACGATCCTAACAAGGCTTGTTATGCTAAAGTCTGAGTCTAATTTACTTCACCGAACTAACCGATGATATTCCGAATTATTCAAGGAGATTATAAAGAAGCGGTGTTTCTCTTTTTAATTTTTTTTAATACAGAAGAGAGAGAAGCTGCTGCTGTTGGCCGCAGATATTCCAACTGTAGACTCTGCAGATAACATTTAAATGCAGTTCAGGAGATCAAGCTGTGATTGGTCTGCGTGTGCACTTTCTCGGCATATCAAACTCTTTCTAAATAATTTTCGTGTTGTGGTAAAAGGCATTTTTGAGTACTTAAACTATGTATATATCTTCATTAATTGCTATTAAAATCTGGTCTAAGAGCACGTTATGCGTTTCTTTGTGCAAGTTCACGGTGGAGAGTGCCACTAGTATACTTCGTAGTTGCCACCACAAAAGGTACAACAGCACAAAGTAATTGGGGTCAACAGGATCTGCACGCCCTTGTAAGGGAAAGATGGAGCTCGTAGTGGCGTCAGCCTTCCGATGACGGGGAGGAAGGGGGGTTGAGGGTACTCCCCAGCCGGGTTGTAGAATCGAGTTACTTGACTTGGACTCGAGTCGGACTCTAGTTGCTATTTTTGCGACTTGTGACTTGACTTGGACTTGCACATTATGACTTGTTACCAACACAAGTCGGAAAACTTGTCTGCCCAAGGCCATTTCTTAATCACTTGGCTGTGGCTAGTCTTGCACCTTTGTTCAGCAGTGCTTACGTTTTTCATTTGCTTCTGCAACTTTCCGGAAGAGCCAATCAGCAGCTTCGTTTGAGCCTTGTAACAAATATTCATATACATTCATGACGGCACTCAGCCTAGAATTGAAAACAAAAATGGCGTCCTGATCTCGAATTCCGAAACCTTCCGCGTAAAATGCCGCGTTTATGTGGTTGTAACATGCCGCCCTCAAGAAACGCCAATAGATTATTTTTATGACAACTACCCATATTCAGATATTTGTTGAGCATTCATCCCAGAAAGGTCCAGTTTGGGTGAGAAATTTGCCAAATGTGCAGTACTAAAGCGAGCGGAGACATCATACATCATGACGGTGACCGTACCGTGTTCGACAATTTCAATGTGCGACCATATGCAACATGGAAAACATTGAAAATGGCTACTCGGCTCTTGCCCCAGACTAGCTGCAGCAGGATATTTTCGAGTGTTTAACTCAAAGCGTTTAAAAGAGGTTATATATGACATTGGTTGATGTTTCAGTTTGAAAACGTCGTTTGTATGGTGTGCTCTGACCAAATATACTTGTGACTTGACTTGACCTGTGATCAAATGACTTGTGACTTGACTTATTACTGGACCAAATGACTTTTGAATTGGCTTAGACTTATACTAAAGGACTTGCTCCCCAGTAACTTATAAAACTGCCCTTAGTACATTCAAAGAGCAAAGCAAATCAAATTACTCACAATGCCGTAACTAAGTGCACAGGTTGAGTTTTCATTTTCTTCTTTGTCAGATGGTGCAACTCTTTTTCCAAGGTTTCTTCTCTCTTACCTCACGAAACACGGAAAATGCTGACTAAAGTACCACTCAAGGTTCAGCCTTGGGCACTGACTAGCGTTAATGCGCAGGCATTGATACGTCACAGTAGTTCCACACATAAAGTTATGTATTAAACTACGAATTTTCCATAACGTGTTGGGTAGCCGTGGCTTAATGGTGTCGAATTTCAGAAATATATCTTCGATACAAAACACACCTTATTTAGAATAACACGTATGAATATCACCTCACTCTAGTGCTTGACTTGAAGGGAAAATATTTGCCCAAAACTGACCTCTCAATTTTGAAAATCTGGGATACATGACCACCAACGCAACTCGGTGTTCTCCTACGCAGATGAAAAGTTATGAAATTACATTTAAAAATAAGCAGACCGAACAAAATAATGTCTGTAGTTTACAGTTTCTAAGGAAATAAAATGTCAGGAATAATCTGCATTTATAACAGATTTTGAAGTCTATTTTGTTGAAAAGAAACTGGGTTAGGTCAGCTCGACTGAATTTACTGCAGGTGAATCAACGAAAGTTCTTCATATTTTTAAGGTCCCGTTTAGTCGACATCCATCATGGATTGCGTTTTCTCAAGACAAAAATGTGCAGAGTTATACACGTAGTCAATTCTTTCGATCAGTATTTGACCCAAAAATGGCTAAAAAGTTTTTTGAGAAAACGTGTTGTTTGTAGCTTGAACCTCAATAAAGTTCAGATGACATGTAGCCTAACAAGCTCATTTGTATATGGTGTTGAGTATTGTCTGGTTGTGGTAACGTTTGCTAGGAGAAATGCAGAGTGGTTGACGATGTGCAAAACAGGGGAGGAAAACTGGTCTACAGCTTTAACTTCCCTGAATTTAAACACGGCACATTCAGCTTGGTGATACTTTCTCTTTCATCTTATTTTGTTTTAGGCGATCAAAAGATACCTGTCTGACCCAGAAAACACAAGCAATCGAAATGGAATAGCTTTTGTTGTTCCCTCTTCATCACTGGTAAATTTCAAGACTCTAGAAGACCTAGTTTTGTTAATTGTTTCTATTACTTCCAGATTTGTGGTACCAAAGCTGCATTCAGTTTACTATAGTGTACAGTTTGTTTAACAGTCTCTGACTTTATGTTACAAATGCATTG